TACTGTACAATGCCTCCAAGATGGGGCAAGAAACCCTAGTTGCGAAAAAGGCATACTGTAAACTCCATTCCTCATTATAAAAATGAAAAGAGCAAGAGCCTCCATTAAAGAGTATATTAGCCAAGCTCCCGAGCTAGTGAACCACTATATCTTCATTGTATAAATTATCCCAATTCTGCAGCAAAGCTTCTCACGATCATCGTGAGCCTTGTGGCTCAAACCCGAGTTGTCAAGCATAATTCATACCTTCTGATCATCCAAGTTAATTTACACCATCAGAAAACTATTCTGGAAAATAGTTTGTCCAAACAAGTTTTCACTTATTTTTGTATAAAAAAAAAACCTATTTTGGAGATACAATCCAATAAGCCCAAAGTCTCTTGGACTATTTATACCTTTAGGAGATGTTGTCGTGGACTTTGCTATGATTGGTGGCCTCTGACAACGATGCCCATATTTTTTAGATGGAGTCCTCAATGTATTTTTCACTAGAGAATGTCCTATCCTTGACATAGGATGACCAACCATCATGCTTTTAATAGGCTCAAGGGAGGTTTGCATTATATTTGTCTTTTTGAGTGAACCAAAAGACAAGATGGAGCTATTTGGATTTGCTCGAGGGTCAATAACCGAATGAATCTCTGTTTAAGGCTCATCCTGATTGGTTTCTACATGTGGTAAGACTAACCCCGTGTCAGTCTTTTTTCAAGATCTCTGTTATAATCCATGCGGGGGTGGCGATGGAGGCAGTTATCTCTGTTTTTCGAGATCTCTGTTATAATCCATGCAGGGGTGGCGATAAAGGCCAACCATCACAATTTTTGTAAGTAACCTTAGATCTTTTTTCCTTATTTCATTTTGCTTTGTGAAGAATGGCCAAAACGATTGCACCGAGTAGGCCGAAGAAAACCACAGTAGATAGTGCACATTTAGTCGCTAAATCTAAGGTGAAGTATGATGTTTCTGCCGATTTAAATATCATAAAATTCAACCCTCGAGAACATAAAAAAATCCATGGGACTCTCGAAGGGATGCACTTTTATACCAAGTTTATAATTGAAGGGGGAATTAGGTTTCTCCTTGCCCTTTGTTGTTTAGGTTCTTCGGACTAGGGCAAACACCCTCCTTAAAGTCAATCTAGATTTTTAAGGGCATCAAGGCAAGTTCGAAGGGAATGCTCGAAGAGCGTGCCCACGAATTTCACAATAGTATAATAAAGTCATGTTATCAGCTGTTCGTAAGTTGGGATAAGTTGCTAAAACAAACGAGAAGGGAGGCTTGACTGGTTTAGTATACTTCCGAAGAAAGACAAATTTGCTTGGAATTCTGGATAGAAGAAGAGGGACATCCAAATATGGTACAACCAAATTGAGATGAATGGAAGATGCCTATTGTGGGTCTGGCGTTGACCGTTCGCTTTCTCAATAGCAAAAACGCCTGAGCAAATGTAGTGATGACAAGAAATAAGAGCAAAAGAGATAAAGAAGTAACTTCCACTCCTCTAGAGGTTGAGGTGCTAACAACCATATGCAAAAAAATGCCACTTCAAAGCCTAAGATCCATCCATGCATTTGGAAACCCATGTGTCTTACTCTGACAAGGGGTACACACAAGACTTCATCATAGTGATCGGCTAATGGGAGAGGGGACAAGGGGATGAGTATAGAAGCTTGTGTTTCCCCAAAAAGATGAGCGAGTCAAGCGAGTGGCATATCCTGTATTGTGCTAACCTCATTGTTTTCCTTTTTGGTAGAGGAGGATTTGAAGGAAGAAATTGCCCAACCTCAAAATCTACTATAAGCTTTACAAACATGGAAAAGGTTTGGTTATATTTAGGTAACTATAGTTTTGGTTGAGCAGCTCACGTATCTCTAGATTATTCTCTTAGCTACACAAAGATCTCACACCATCCTATTCCCTACAACCCTAAGCTTTGGATTAAGGATTTCTCTGGGGGATGAAGAGGAGGAAAGGGGGAAGATAAAGAAAAGGCCGATGAGGTAAAGGGGTAGCAAAACTTGGAAGGTACTAAGTATGATCACAAGTAGAGGGGAGCTTCGTTTGACTTAACATTCTCCATTTTGTAAATGAGCCTGATGCCATCGAAGTCACCATAGTGTCTAGTTGTTGTTCTATGACTCTCAAGAGATTGGAAGAGGTTGTCCCCAACACATGTCATAACCATACTCATCCCGTTCGAGACTTGGAGGCGACAGTTTAATGCCAATAGATGCCAGCTCCTCGGGACCAAGGGAAACTTGACTTGGCACAATCCAAACACTAGGAACATGAAGATGATCCCTAGGAGGAAAAGAGGGTCATATATCATCATCAAAGGGACACTGAACCCCTCAAGAAGGATTCTTTTGCCTTTGCCAAAATTTGATGAGTCGTGCTGAGTGCTCAATATTACATTATTTTATAGCTTAACACATTAGCTTTAGGCTTGCTGACAAACTAACTTATTTCATTTAGTGCGTATTGCATCTTATGCTTTGATTTCTATGATTGTAGGTAAATTGGGTGTAAAGGTTGAGATTGAGCATTAATAGGATGGTAAGGGACAAGTTGGGATTGAGTTTGCTTGGGAGAAGATGAAGTGGGGAGCCTTGAAAGTTATTTTGGAAGAAATAGAAGTTCTACTAGTAGCAAGGCAAAAATATAAAGGTTCTACCGATAATAAGTCATTTTTACCAGTAACTTGAGCAATAGAAGATTAGTGCAGAAGTTCTACCGATTGGTGATTCATATTCTACTGATCGAAAAACTTACAGAAGTTTACATCTTTTTCATCAGAGAAGTTTTATCAGTAGTTAGTACATGTTCTATTGGTAGAAAAACTTACAATACTTTGTCAAAGGAAGTCCTATCAGTAGGTAAATGATGTTTTACCAGTAGGAAAAGTCGTAGAGGTGTCAGAGATTTCATCATAACAAAGTGCTACTAGTAGGTTTTACTGTTCTACCGGTAGATCGTGCCACAGAAGGAATTGCTATCAGTATGTGAAGGCAGATTTTCACGGGAAGCTCAATTAAAGATCAGATCTCATCAATCTTTTTGGGGAATCTCAACCAATCAGAGGATGAGATAATTTTGGGATGGATATATGTCAAAGATCTAAAGATTCTCCTTCCAACCAGAATAAATAGAAGACCATTTTGGGGAAAATAGACATTAGGTTTTGGATTCTTTTTTAATTTTTCTCTATTTTTATGTTTAGAGAGTGTTAGGGTTATTGCAAAGCTTTTCTGTTGTTCTTTATTTTTAAGTTATGTTCTTTCATTTGTTCTAACAATTTTGCATTCGGTTGTCTTTAGTATCCAAAGCTTTGTTATTTCAATTCAATTTTTCAATACAAGCAATTACTTTTAAGTCAGTCTTTACTTCCACGAATTACTTCAATTGTGCTCTCTCTAATTTCTTGTGCTATTTACATTATCATGAGTGAGTAGTCTTTCTCTAAATAATCTGNCCAATCTTTACTTCCACGAATTACTTCAATTGTGCTCTCTTTAATTTCTTGTGCTATTTACATTATCATGAGTGAGTAGTCTTTCTCTAAATAATCTGAAAAAGGATTCTTAACCTATGAATTAGGGTTATACTATAAACAAGAGTTTTAATGTCTATGTGATTGTTTGATTAAGTTGTGTTTTCAAAAACCTATTTGGTTTGCATACTCTCCTATTACCTGTATACAATTGGTTTTGGTATATGTAATTAGTGATGTTTTTTGCAACATGTAGGGTACTGATTATTTCATCATAAACTATCTCTTAAATACTACTTTTGATTCTTTTCTAAGTGTTTGAGAGGGAGAGGAGAGAGTCGTGCTCAACAGAGTGATCATGCCCCCCAAGTGTTGGTGGAGCTTACAATTTATAGTCGCCCTCCTAACAAATTTGGGTGAGGTATTAGCAACTAGTTGGCTAGTTTGTTGGATCTAACGTCCTCCTCTCAACGGGCGAGGTGGTTACGGGACTTTCCATAAGATGCGGTCAAAGGTTGACATGGGGTATTGACTATTTCCAGACGGCATGGATGAGGCTCATGGATGCTCTCCTGATGACGTAGCCAAGCTAATGTAGCTCCCTGATAAGCTTAACTGGACTTGGACCTCATTGGGCTTGGTGGGTCATTACAAGATTGGGCTCTTAGTTAAGATTGGACTTTCCACACGGATTGGGCCATTTTGGCTTAGCCCATCATTTGCCCCCCAATGCCTTTTGTCTAATGAAACTTGGAGAAGGGAGCATTTAGTTGAATTTGAATTCTGGCTCATGAAGACTCCTCTCCTGCTATGTCTATGTTGCGCTTCGACTCGAGGATCGACCTACTCGGACAAGTCACGGGATTCCACCTGCCCGGTCAGGTGGTAGGGGATTGGGGGCAGCGCCCCCGAACCTTAAATGGTTTTCTGAGTCAGATACCAAGGATCCTTCTACATTCCTGATGTATTTTTCCTTACTGAACCCCTAAAATCTTTTCCACTTTTACTTGGATTTTTAAGAGAGCCCTTGATTTTCAATTTGGATTTTTTTTTTCTCTTTGAAAACCCTAGGATATAAATAGAAGCTTCATTCCTCATTCTTGCCCATTTCATTCACCTTGAGCCCTTTCTTAAGAGCCTTGAGAGCCCAAGTCCAACCCATTCCATAGAAACTAGAAACTTGAGAGGGTGATCTCCTTGAATCTTTACAAGAACATTCGGGTGATATTTTTTGAGTGAAGCATCTAAGAGGGCAATGCCGATTGAGGAGGGAAATGTGCAAAAATCCATTGATATCTTGGGGAATGGGGTGATCGACGCAAAGTTCGGTGACCATAGGGCCTTCGAAGTGGTGGAGATCGAAGGAGGCGGAGTGGAGACGGATATGAGGACCTCGCTGGCCATTAACGTTGTCTGTGTGTGCGAGAATGGGCGAGCAGGCACTTGCGTGGGCAAGCTAGAGCAAGTAGAGGCTGAGGTAGGTTTGGGTGTGCAGGGGCTGGGTGAGTAGATGCTAGGCACTACTGCCCGTGTAGTGGGAGAGCAGACCCTGGGCGCCGCTGTTGTCTATGCCGTAGGCGAGCAGTCTTCGCGGGCTGCTCCTGTCAATGGCGCTAGTGCACAAGGAAGAGGCGGGCGTGTAGGATCAGTGAGCAATGCAATAGCTGTTGTGGAGGCACTGGGAAATGTAGCTGTTCAGGCACTGGGTGCCTAGGCTCTTGCAACTGAGACAACGATGTGTTCTGCGGGCGCAAAGGGGGTAGTCTAGGCGAGGCAGACAAAACAGTTGCTGGGCGAGCCGACTCTTGGTGTGCTAGGGTTACACATTCATGGAGAGGGGGCTTTGGGCGAGCATGCTGGTACGAGGGAGGAGAGGTGAGCATGCTTGGGCACCTATGCCACAACCCTCCCCTTTAGGTGAGTAGGCCAAGTGGGGTCAGATGGGAGAGTTTTCCAATTTTGTGAGGGGTGAGCAGCCCATGTGGTCAGGAAAATGGTTCCAACCGCTGATATGGCATGAACTATTGAGCTGGACGCCCATGTGCATACAGAGAAAGAGAGAGAGAGAGAGAGAGAGAGAGAGAGAGAGAGAGAGAGGAAACAGAGCTGGGCACCACTGGTCAGACGACCCAAGGCCTAGGTACCAAATCCTGGGCGACCCAGGCGTTGGGCGCCAAGGCCAGGATGGCCCAGGTGTTGGGGGCTTAGTTGGTTGTTGTAACCGGGACATCCCAGGCACTTGGCAAGGAGTTTCTAGCAGCGAACAAGATGCAGTTGATGATGGGTACTTTTCGTGGTGACAGTTTTGGCACCGTAACAGGTGATCTGCCTCCTTCGAGTAGAACTCCTCTAATTAAGATTTCTGGTAACTCAGACAGCTCTTCATGCCCTTGCAACAAAAAACACAAAAGTAAAATGGCTCCTACTGATGATGGTTCCAAGGTAAGTTCCCTTTCTAGCACTTTAAATACAGACGATGATATTTTGTAGATTATTTCTTCCTACCACATTCCTCCAATTGTGTTGTGTCATTGAGTAGAGACGGGCGAGCCTGCTAGTAATGACTCCTCTGGTGACATAGTCATTTATGAGGAGATGCTTAATGTTGGGCTTAGGTTCCCCATGAATTTTTTCCATTTGCGGCATCTTGAATTACTTTTCCCTAACACTTGGGCGGTTGGCACCCAATAGTTGGAGGGTTTTGCTAGCCTTTCTAGAGTTGTGGAGGAAGGTGCACCACGAAGATGCCTCCCCTGTCGAGTTTCATGCAACTTATTACCCGAGTGAGACTCCCACTCCTAATCGAGGTTGGTACTATTTCACTTCGAGGGGGGCAAGTTGATTACTAGACTGCCCTCTAACTACGACAATTGGAAGTCTCATTTCACATTCGTCAGTAGAGAGTGGGCTTTAGAGGTTGATAGGGCATTGGTACCATCACGATGGGTCACTCTAAAAAAAGTTGGTATGCCCCCTATACTTACCCTTCTCTCACCACATTCCTTCTAGACTGTGCACTCAACCTATTCCTTGCAGGTTCTCCTGTGCTCTCCAAGGACCAAGAATGGAAGCTGCAGGCTGTGTGAGCTCATCTTACAAGGTACTTTGGGGCTCTCATGCTCAAAGATGGAGGAGTCAATGCTTCTCCTTCGGTTCGTGCTAAGGCCGCTGCTCCCTCCCTAAAGTTCGATGGCTCCTCTTCGAAGAGGAATGGTGAGTTGATCTTTTCTACCCCGCTCTTTTACTTGGTGTTTTTTTACCTAGGTGACACTTTATTTTTTTTGCAGCGATAAATAGGGAGGTGATTGGGTCCCGCCTCTCCGATAGGAGGCCTCCTTCTCTCAAGGTTGGTGGGGACGGGTGACATCTCCCAAGCGATCTCTCCAATGGTGCCATCTGAGGTGAGCTCTCCTCGGTCAACATCTCTAGTGGTACCTCAGGCGCCTTCCCATCAAGGGACCCCTCTAGAGGTGTCTCCTCAGTTAGAAACTCCCTCAACTGCATCTCTTTCGTCGGCCACACCTTCTGCCCCCCACTCATCTACTACTGGGGCACTTTCTCAGACCAGCTCCATGTTGGGTAACGTACGGGTCATCAAGGAACAACTTGAGAGGTTTGTGTTTCCTAATGATGTGAATGAGATTAGTTCCTTGGGCACCGAGGGAATCCTCAACTCTTTTCTGGAAAGCTGGGCTCAAGTAAGGGTTTATTATCTTCTTCTTTTCCCATCCTTCCATAAGTGTCTGACATCCTTTTGCCTTTTATTTTTCTTCAGGCCTCAACTGCATCTATGTGTTTACTTTCAAGGACCCTTCTTCATCACAAGCTGAAACATGATCATGAAGTCGTGCAAAGAGAGCTTCTAGCTGCTCAGGGAAGGATCACCGAGCTTGAATTTACTGGGAGGGCTTCTGATGCTAACCTTGTGGTAACCCGCGAGAGGGGCGACCAGGCTTATACTGAGCTTTCGGCGTCCTATGAGAGGGCGGCCAAGCTAGAGGTTGAGCTTGAGAAGGCCTGTGAGATGGCAACTGAGCTTGAGTCTGAGCTTTTGGCGACCCATGAGAGGGACCCGCTCAGGGAGGCTGAGCTTGTGAAGGCCTATGAGAGGACCATGCTCAATGCAGCTAAGCTTGCTAAGACCCGCGAGAGGGCCTCGCTCAGAGAGGTTGCTACGGAGGCAGCTCATGAGAGAGATTCGCAGGCTGAAGACAGGGCTGTGATAGTTGAGAGGGACTTGTAGAATAGCCTTGCAGATGCCTTTATTGACGGTTATGATGAGCTCCAAGGGAAGATCTCTGTTGTCTACCCTGATATTGATGTTTCACGCTTATTGCCAACTGAGGCGCCTGATGAGGATGATGGAGAATCTGAAGAGGTAGAGGAGGATGACCATGAGAGTAGCTAGGGACTTTTAATTTTCTTTTTTTTTTTTAAGGAAAGCATTTTGTAGTCCTTCTTTTGTAAAAGTGGCTTTCACCACTGAACTAATGTGAAGTTGAATACAAAAATGCAAATTCTTTTGAAGTAAATCTAGAAGTTGAATGCAAAAATGCAAAGTATTTTGAAGTAAATCTAAAAATTTTATTCATTTCACTGCTTATGTAAAGCAACATCGAGTAATAGCCCCTTCTCGTGAATCCTTTGTGGCGAGGCTCACTTTCTTGAGGACCACGTCTCCTGGTCAGAAGGAAAGAGGCTTCATCCTCGAGTTGTAATATTTTGTCATGTGGCGCTTGTACTCTGCATTGCAGACCACAACCATTTCCCTTGCCTCTTCTACCAATTTGAGGTTAATGTAGAGTCCTTCCTCGTTTGTGATGGGGTTGTAGTGTTGGACCGTTAGAGAATGCACCCTGATCTCCACAGGGATGAATGCTTTAGTTCCAAAGGCGAGGGAAAAGAGAGTTTCTCTAGTTGGAGTTCTCGGCGTGGTTTAGTAGGCCCACAGTGCGCCTGGGAGCTCGTCAACCCAAAGACCCTTCGCTCTTTCTAGCCTTGTCTTTTGGTTGCGTAACATCGTCCTCACCATGACTTCTACTTGCCCATTTGCCTGCAGGTATGCTAGGTTAGAATGAGGTTGCCTTATTTGTAGATCAGAGCAAAAGGAGTTCAGGAGCTTGTTGTTGAACTGTTTGGCATTGTTGCTTACAGTGGCATGAGGTATCCTGAAGCGGCAGACCTGGTTCTTCCAAATAAAATCATTAACCTTTGCATTTGTTATCTTCGCTAAGGATTTGGCCTCTGCCCACTTGGTGAAGTAGTCGACTGTTACCACCACGAACTTACACTATCCTCTACTGAGAGATAGGAGGCCTAGGATGTCAATGCCCTATTTAGAGAAAGGCCTCAGATTGGTGATAACCGTAAGTTCCTCTAACGGCAACCTAGGCATAATGGCGAAGCGCCAACACCTGTCACATTTCTTAGTGAAATCCTAGGCATCCCTTACCATGCTAGGCCAAAAGTAGCCCTATTAGAGTGCTTTGTGGGCGAGGGAGTGTCCTCCAGAGTGATTCCCACAAACTCCTTCATGGATCTCCTGAAGGGTGTAGTTATTTTTCTCGGGTGAAAGGCACAACAACAATGGCAAGGAGTAACCTTTTTTGTATAAGGTGTCCTATAAGATGGTAAACTTGGAGGCTCTCATCTTTAGTTTCCTGGCTTCTAGGGGATCATCTGGCAGCACACCCTCTTAGAGGTATGTCCTTATTGGGGTCATCTAGTTTGATTTAGCAGAAGTGCAGTTGACTTTTACGATGTCTACATCTAGTCTGCTTGGTTCGAACTGGTGACCAATGAATGTTGGTCCTCCCGGTGAGGCTTCCAAGGATAAGGCAAGCCTGGTTAGTGCATCTGCGGCCATGTTGTCTTCTCTCTGGATGTGATAGATTTGAAAGTATTAGAACTTTGTGATTAAGCTTTTCACCATACCAAAGTACTCCTGCATTCTGGCTTCTCTTGCATCGAACTCGTCCTTTAATTGATTAACTATAAGCTGAGAATCATTATAAGTGGCGAGGTGTTGGGCTTCCATTTCAGCCGTCAATCTTAAGCTAGAGAGGAGGGCTTCGGATTTTGCCTCATTGTTGGAGGCAGTAAAGTGGAGCTTTACTGCATTCTTGATTGGAGTGCGGTCGGGGCTGATCAGGATTAGGCTTGTTCCACCCCCTTCACTAGTTAAGGAGCCGTCCATGTAGAGCTTCCAAAGTGGTAGAAAGGAAGGCTCAGAGGTTTCTGTTGGAGCCAGGGCACTAGGCTGGGGTGCCTAGGCACTGAAGGGAGATGTCTGGGTGCTAGGTTGGGTGCCAGAGAAGGATGTCTGGGCGCCAGTCTAGGCGCTTGAGGTGGAGGTCTGGGCGCTTGGTTGTCTGGACTGGGCTCCTGGTTGTCTCTATCGGGCGTTAGATTATTTTGCGTGCCCGAGTCCAATGTCTGAAGTGTGAAAAGTTCATTGGTCTCCTCCTCTACTAGTGTAAGCTTGACAATAAAATCTACTAAGGCTTGTGCTTTGATGGCCGCCCTTGGCTGGTACTGAATATCGAATTCTTCGAGTTCCATTGCCCATTTAAGGAGTCTCCCAGATACGTCCGGCTTTCCCGAGACTCTTTTTAGAGGTTGGTCTGTGATGACAACAATGCTGTGACTCTAAAAGTAATGTCATAGGCACCTTGCAGTTGAGACCAGGGCCAACGCTAGTTTTTCTAGCCTTGAATATCTGACCTCTATCCCCCGGTATGCTCTACTCACATAGCAGATAGGCTTCTGCACTCCATCATTGTTTCTGACGAGGACAGAGCTTATTGCCAATGGATAAGCAAAAAGGTATAGCTACAAAATTTCTCCTAGAGTAGCATGTAACATGAGGGAGGCGTGGTCAAGTAGACTTTGAGCCTTTGGAAGGCTTCCTCTGCCACAAGGCCCCACTTGAAGGCCTTTCGAAGAATTTTGAAGAAAGGCAGACATTTGTCTACAGACTTGAAAACGAACTTGTTAAGTGCTTCAATTCTCCCATTGAGGCATTAGTAGAGTTCCTTGGTGGAGGAGGGTGACTTCATGTCGAGGATGGCCTTGATTTTGTCAGGGTACGCCTCAATTCCCCTTTGATTGAATATGAAACCTTAGAATTTTCCTGACCCTACGCCAAAGGCGCACTTCTCAAGATTCAGCTTCATGTAATAGGACCTTAGAATATTGAAAGTTTCCTGAAGGTGGTCAATGTGATCTACTACTGCGAGAATTTTCACTAGCATGCCATTCACGTATACCTCCATTGTTCGCCCGATCTGAGATTTGAACAATTTGTTCACTAGCTATTGATAGGTTGCTCCTGCGTTCTTTAGTCCGAAGGGCATGACCCTGTAGCAGTAGATCCGCCTCGGAGTGATAAATAATGTCTTCTCCTGGTTTGGGGGGTGCATGCTAATCTGATTATACCCAAAGTACGCATCCAGGAAGGTGAGCAATTTATGTCCCGCGGTGGCGTCGATGAGGAGGTCAATTCAGGGTAGTGGGTAGCTATCCTTTGGGCACGGCTTATTGAGCTCGGTAAAGTCAACGCAAAGACACCAATTGCCATTGGCTTTAGTTACCATTACCATATTTGAAAGCCACTCTGGATATGTTACTTCTTTGACCGCCCCATTATCTATTAGCTTTCCCACCTCCTTGTCTATAGCGTGGGCCCTTTCAGTGGAGGCCCCTTTTTGCAATGGGAGTCAACATTGAGGCAGTGTGTGACCACCTCTGGGTCAAGGTCTGAATGTGACCATGCAAAGACGTCCATGTTACGTCTCAGAAAGTGTATTAGCTGATGAACTAGATCTTCAGAAAGGGAAGAGACAATGTATACTCTTATGTCTGGATGCTCCTTATCTAAGGTCACGGGGGTGAGCTTCTCGACTGGTTCTCCTCTTTCTATGGGAGTATCATCCCTTGGGTCAAGGACCTCAACTTGCAACGCCTCTTGTGGTTTCATGGTCTTCATTGAGGAGACATAGCACTCTCTTGCTGCTACCTAAACATTTGTTCAAGTTACTACATGATACTATTCTACATGGGTAATTCAAAATGCATTGGTAGTAAGTAGGGGTGTCCATGGATCGGGTCAAGCTAGGACAGTGAAATTTTTTTTGGGCTGGGCCTGGGTAGTGTAAGCCCAAGCCCTTACCCAAGTGAGTTATCGGGCTGGCTGGGCAGGGGCTTCGGGTAGAGGTAGGCTACCCGCAGCCCAACCCGTGAGCCTATTGAGCGGGCCTATTTGTAGGATTTTTATATACATCTTTATTTAAAAATAATGAATATTTTTGTAACTTAATATTTATGTAAATTATATTTTTGAATCAAAAGTAAAGTTAAAATGGATAAAAAGAAAATAATGAACTATATCTAATAGAATGAATAAATCCTAACTAGGTTGACACCTACTAACTTATTTGTCATTTGTATTACTCTACCATTTAAAACTTATATGCTTAATACGTGGAAAAAAATAATATATTATTTATAATATCTAAATTTTTAAAATTTCAAATTTCGATATTGAGAGACTTATTTCAAAATTTAAATTTAATGGTCTAAAAGTATAACTTTTTTTCGAAGGAAGGGTAGGTTGGGCTGGGCTTGCGGCCAGGCTCTTGGGCCGGGTAATGGATTTGGGGGCAAATCCAAGCCCTCTTTTTAAGGATATTGGGCTCAGGCTCGGACTCGGGCGGCCCAACTATTTGGCCTATCGGACTTTGGACCTATTTTTTTTTTGACCGAGTAACAGGACCCGTGAATAACTCGACTCATGGACATCCTAGTGGTAAGTAACCTATTTGTCTTCTTTTACTCTGCCACATATATTCGGTGTGTGTCACTTCTTTTTTTACTCACCCCTTTTTCTCAATTTCCCAATAAATAGGGGGTCACTAGCTAATTGCTTCTGGACACATTGGATTAAAAAAGAGGAGATTCAAAAGGAAAATGACCACCGTAAACTGCCGAGATGGCTACATCCATAGGTAAGATGTAAGGTCTCCTGGTGGAGTTTGATAAAAGCAGGGCCGCTGAGATCGAGGATGAGAAAAGGATAGTCGATGCTGAGCTGAAGGTCTCGAAGGCGAAGACCAAGTTGGGGAAAGCTGAACATAACTATGACTCAACGTCAAATGAGGTAAACAAAGGTGAACGCCAAACTCACTAAGATGATGGCAAAGGAGGTGGGTACTAGGAGGGGTATGACCTTTGCAAGTATCAGGTCGTCCACCATTCATTGACATTAAGAACAAATCCTTTAACAACGGCTGGAAATAACCAAGATTATTCCCAATCTCAATATTTGGATCCTCCACGCTACTCATTTTTGCAGTGAGACTATTCTATGGTAGTTTATTGCTTTCTCTCTTTCATTGTATTATAGAATGCTTACAATCAATATGAAATGAATATGCTTCATTTAATAAATTGTTACATTGGTAATTTTGCATCTCATTTATTAATTTATGTTAATAAAAATGACAATTAATTTCACTGTGTGGTAACTTAAAAAATATTACAAATACTTTTAATGTATCATTTTAATGTTTATGATACAATAAAAACTAAAAGTCACTAAACACTCATATTTGCATAATTTTAGAGTTGAAACATCAAAATATTCACGTTCTATGAAGGTTTTGAATTGAAAAAAAAAAATCAATTGAGCACAACAGGGGGGAGGGGCGGTGGGGGGTTGGTTCAAAGCCTAAAGTTTATAGATTATTAAGGTACAGCATGGAAAATATGGAAACAAGCAGGCGTCCAAAGAGTTCTAACATCAAAGATTGGGTAAGATGTGAAAAGCCACAGTGATTAACAGTCCCCAAGCCATCTTAGTTCCCAACCATCTTTTTCTCTTTCCACCATCACTCTTTAAATCAGCCGCACTTGATCCCTTGCTGGGGGGATTTCCTTTAACAAACAAGAAGAAGAAGAAAACGTTAATCAGACAAATATTAGGAAAGACAAATATAAAGAAACAAATAACCAAATATAAGATACTAAATTTGTTACCAGTCGCAGTTGAAGTAGGACTATTGCTCTGTTTAGCATTCTTTACAAAGTCCTCAAATACCTTTGCTTCAGGTGAGTTAGGTGCCAAGTGTAGGAGAGCTGGTTTAATCACAGAAAATATGAAGAGCACGGTCAAGAATGCACATTTTATAAGAATCTATGGATTTTTTTTTTGTTTTTTTGTCACCAATGATAAAAAATTAAGTATTATAATCTCTTAATAATCCATCGACACTACTTTCTCAAAAAAAAAAATAAAAAAATAATCCATCGACATTAAAAAAAGAACTACCCACAAGGGGTGAATAGAAATCCGAAATAGAGCACAATAGATCCCAAGAAAAAGGACATAAGAAAAAAATCTTGCATTTGGCAATGATCACTCCTTGACCATTAAACATGTCTACTCTATGATATGTGTGTGTGAGGGTTTGGTGATGAGCATGAAAGTGGATTTTAGCATAACGACAACGTTATTTCATCGTCAGCTGGGCATCGCGGAGGATTCAAATCCCAAAAATTACCTTTGCATATGAAATAAAACTACACAAACACAATTCTTTTAAGACCTTATAAATATAAATATACATGGATGTGAGTGTGCACGTGCTTACCAGGGCAGCCGGATATGTTAGCTGGAGCATGACACTGATCAGGAAGACTTAAAGCACGAGTAGCATTGATCTTAAGGCCAAGGCTAGGATCATTTCGGTCCTTGACCAAGATGCAGAGACATTTCTTGCTCTTCTGCAAGACTTGTTGGAGGCCAGTGCAGCAATCTGGGGTTGGGGCTTTGGAATCACCACCAACGTAAGGAAGACAAGTGGCCAGCGCCACTAATTGGTTTGCACATTCTTCTCTGTCCTTGGCTATGTCTGAGTTTGCAAAGCCAGATAACATCAACACTAAAATGCACGAATGTAGTCCCAGAGAAACATATTGTAGTTCCATTGCAGTGTGTGTTGTGTTTGTGAGAGAGAGAGAGAGAGAGAGGATGGTATGAAGACATGCTCTAACCCTTTTATGCTTTGGTTGTAGCAATTTCTTAGAGATAATTATGAAACCAAATTCACATGCTGATTCAAGTGGTCGGAAAAAGTAAGAGACATATATTCACACCTTTTGAGTCCGAGTCTTCGAAACTATATAAAACCCGAATATCATTGTTGACGGTGATTAATATGTGTTTTACTTGTACTCAAGACAGATTGATTCTATGGTTGAAAAAAGGATAAAAACATAAAGCTACATCTGCTAAAACCGAGACTTCTTGACTACATAACATTTGAACTTAACTAAAAATGAGCACATATGGTAAGTGATTCCATATATTCGAGATATATATTATGGTCATAAATTTAACAGAAATATTGTGGAGTTGACATAATTCCCCTTGCAAAAATAAGATTGTAAAAGGAACAGAAGAGGACTGTGGAGTTGACATAATTGTTTGAGTAATATTTCAGGGACTTAATTTGAAATTTTAATCAGGGATTTAAGTCAATATAATTATTAAATTAATTATAAATTTTAATATTAAATGGGTTCATCTTTAATTTAACAACTATAATTAATTAAATTTATAAATTAAGTCTAAATAATTTTTTTTTTTTTAACTTTTTGGACTCATGATAATTCGAGTGTATATTTAGAGAGTTCACATGTGAAGGGACTATTGGATCTTATGAGAGGCTGGTAATTGTAGTAAATGTACACATATAAATGCCCACCAAATCGTATCTCACAACCGTACAATTAAGTGGTCTATTATTGATAGCTAGCAACAGCAGGTATACCAGACAAGAACAGCTACCATTTGAAGTGCTGTTATTTTACTCTTGGATCCTGTGGTGTACATAACCGAGTGCTGTTATTTTGTATCCGGTAAGATCAAGAAATTCAAACGGGCGAGAGATTTGAATTATTGATTATCGGTGGTTCAGTTTTGATATTATATTAGAGCATCCATTTATAAACTAATTAACAATGAGCAAACAACTAAATTAGTTTTGATACTATATTAGAGCATCCATTTATAAACTAATTAACAATGAATAGATAACTAATTGGGATACTTCAGTTAGGTAAAATTTCTGGCTTCTCAGTGAAAAGTTAGAGGTTTGAAGTTCCTTGGACACAAGAGCTTGACAAGACCTCAATTGTTTAATTGAATCGTATCCAAGTCTTTGATGGTGTGGGTCTTAAGTTCCTTTCGACGTGGAACATAAACTCTTTTAATAGACTAATTATTACAGCTATGGAGAGAGGATGAGCTGTTCTGGAAACTAAGAATTTCTTTCTAATAATTAGGGAAAGAAAATTGTAGGGATTAGTTGATCAGGACAATTTTTCGTTACGAAAAAATTATGAAAAGGAAACCGAAAGGAAAGGTGGAGTTGAAATGACTTAATTGGGTCATGGTTATTCTGAAGTCAATCTCCAGAGAGTTCACATGAGAAGGAATTAATGTGTCTTAAGCTGGGCTGGTAATCCTAATAAATGTGCATCTATAAATTCCCACCAGATCATAACGCAGGACTGTCCAATCAGTAGGTCCATTCTTGTACCAATGGCAAAGCAAGAAAATTATGGTAGTCGGGACAAATTTTAAAAATAATAACATAAAAAATCAAAATAATAATTAAAAAAAAACACTTTGGTGCAATTTGTCCACAATTTTTTTTTTTTAATATTAAGTACTATTTTTTATTGTTTTAGCTTTTTCTTTAATTCAATTAAAGATATTTTTTTAATTTATTAAAATTAATTGTGACAAGAAAGAAGGGGTGAAATATAGGGAGCCACGTAAGACCCTATCAACAAAAAACTTTATGCATAATACTAGGGTAAGACTAAGTTAACTAGGGATGTTTTCAATCAAAAAGCTCACCTTGTGTACTGTCCACCTGTGATATTACTCCCCCTAATCCGTGATGGTATAGAAATTGACTGATGTAAAGCCAAAAAGAACTTGTCGCTAACTGCCACAGCCATTTGTGCTCTGTAATACAGCCCACATTAAAAATTCGATTTTATTAAAAATTTTGGATGGGAGAGATGGGATATCTAAGACGAGAGAAGGGAAAGGATACAACTATTTACATGGTTCAGCCTAATTAAGCTTTTATTCACGAATATAATTCTCAAAAAGACTTTCGCTTTCATTGATTGTAATTTACATCGTGGATTTGTGTGTATTTTGATACAAGGGAAACACCTATATTTATATGGTTATATGAATAGACAAAGTTTTCAGTCACGTTGAATTATTAAAAATAACGGCTTGTCTTTGTTTTCGAATTAATGGCAGGCATGTTATAAGATTTGATCCTGTTTATTGCGGAATCACCATGTTAAATTTTGGATGGGAAGAAATTCGATATATTTAAATTAAAAGAAGTGAAGAGACATAAAAATTTAGATGGTTGAAGCTATTTATATTTATATACATACACAAATTATACTCATTGAAACTTTGCAAAGAATTGGTGGGTTGCACATGAATTATACTCAAGGCTCATTTAAGGTACTAGATATTACACATGTGCAATTATTTTTGACAATAGCTTTAATTTTATATTTAACATATCGGTATATAGGTTATTTTGTTTTGAATTGAAATATTATGAAAAATTGCCTCAAATATGGTTTTTGTAATTTATAGGTCATATTCTATAGTTTAATTGTTAATATGGTAAAATACATTGGCCACATACCACACATACCTACCACAACAATCTTCTCTTTCGAAGTTTAAAGACAATAAATGATTGAACAAATTAATCTAGTCTAATTGGCAACCCTTCGATCTCTTGAGACTATATCAGCTAAGAGGTCAAGCGGTCAATTCTTGTCAAATGCAAGATTTATGGGTCGTTTGATAGCGTTTTTGTTTTTGTGTCTTCAAAAAACTAAAAACAGAGACAATTTTTTGTCTCTATTTTATGGTAAATACTGAAACAAAAAACATGTTTGGTAGTCATTTTTGTCTATCAAATTATGAGAATAAAAACAGAAAACATGTTTGGTAACTATCTCAAGTTTTGTCCTAAATATGTTTTATAATACCTCATTTTTTGTTTTCAAACAAATCAACATTTTATTTCATGAAAAATGATTTACAACCATGAATTAAAGGCATTCAACAAAGCACTAATCTTGCACAGCCAAATTTTCAAAAAAATTAGCCATGAAATTTGCCTCCCTATACACATACCCAATTTGATATTGCAAGAACACCTAAATGAGGAACCCAACTCACCTAAAAGGCCTTAACCTGCACCTTACCGCAATCAATCCCCAAATCAAACAACCTAAATAAAATACAAATAGACGTTATATTACATCAAAATACAAATCCAAAATTTTCATAAGGGCTTTGCTAATATAAATATTCCTTTTCTATGAAGAAAAATGGAACAGAGAAGAGAGTTTCTTTATCTTGGTGGTCAATGGATCATGTCTTACCCATTATCATTCCTCATTATTCCCCAATGTTTGTTTTTTTTTCACCTCACTTGGAAGCATGAATCACACATAAGCGAATGTGTACAAAGAGTTGGTATTCTACATAAAATGGCTAAGGTCACTCAAGAGTGGTTTATATTGTAAAAGAGTCTCTCCACTCATTTCCAAATGATTTTGCGTTGGTTGCTTTACCATTTGTAACAATTCGAAAAGCAAATTTTCACATCATATTCTTTTTGTCGTTTCTCTCTTGGGATATTCAAATGATTCAAACAGTTCCTAATCATCAACATATGAAACATCAGATTATTTAGGAGAAGATACAAAGGCCACATCTATGACCAAATCAATTGATGAAGCTTTTTAAATCACCAAAATACATACAAAAAAAAAAGTATCATGAAATAATATGCAGGAAGCCTTCACTTGTGCAATTCCCAAAATTGTTCCAAGATTATTATGTCTTTGCCTGCAATGGTTTGGCATACAATTTATAAGAAATTAGAAATTGCTAATTTTTTGTATAGATTTAATCCATGTTAAACAGTTCATGTAACACTGAAATCAGAAATTTTTTGAATAATAAATAGCTCAAAAGATAAATATACAATGGAAATAAGCAGTAATCTAATTCTTCAAAAATTTGAAAGCAATGGGCTAGTTCAATTCCAATCTCAATCTTAATCTCAATCACAAATACAACACACAACACACAACACACATAGAACACAATGCGCACACACCCAGCACACAAAACACACACACACACACCAATCACACAAAACACACATGCAACAACACATAGATCTGTGCATATATGCATTTATGTGCACAGATCTGTGTATATATATGCATATATATATACATATATATACAGATATATAAAATTATATGTAATTGTAATACTAATAAATGAATTCAAAAGAATTTAGAAATCCTTATGAAAGAGTTCAAAACAAATTGAAAGTCAAACAGCTATAAAAAAAAAAAATTAGATGAAAGTATAAATGCGGGATATATAATAATTAGGGATAAAATCAAAAATTAAAAATTTTTCACAAATGCTCACATTATAAGGAGTATAGATGTTGAAACAATTAAATAAATATACACCAATGAATCAAAGTATATGTCTTTTGATACTTGTTGTCTAGATATGTTATATGTTGCTATGTGTTCCAAACACCATAGTCTTCCAAGAAGTTAGACTACATGCTAAATTAATTACTTCAAGGCTGATTGGTCGCCCCTATGAATACTGGAAGGTTGATTGAGATTTTATGTTTATCTGTGGAAAATCTATTGCACTTTATCGATAATGAATCTAATATCTTCTCCTGATGTTTTTGTATACTCTTAAAGCCATGGATAGACCCATTACATGACTAAAAAGGGACATAGTCTCACCTCAAGTTTTTCTAAAAAAAATTGTATGTATTGGAAATTTTAATAAATAATTAAAGTATGTGTAATTTATCTGCCACTAAGAATACTACAAAGGGTTGTGGTCTAATGGGGAAGGAGTA